AATTGGACGAGACTGCCCAGCCTTTTACCCACTCTGGAGAGAGTCTCAGGAGAGGATAACCCGAGTACCTCGGAAACGGAGAGGCAAGACTCATCCTGGGAAGGCTCCGGTGCAATCCTCCGAGTTACTCACTCCCGCCCGGGCTCTGATAGGGATGGCAGGTGCCCAGACCGACACAGAGACGGAGCTACAGAATCTGGACAAAGAACTGTCTGGTCTGAAGGGGACCGCTGAGAGGTATCGTTTGTTAAAGCAACAGTTAGACATGAAGACAGAAGAGTTAGATATCCTCCAGGCTAAACTCCAACAGAGCTCCTTCCCTAAGCAACAGGAGGAGCTGGAGAGGCTGCGCAGGACCATCGAGGAGTGTGAGGAGACCCTGCGCAGTAGTAAGGAGGTCCAGAAGAAGGCAGAGGAGAAGTACAAGGTGTTGGAGAACAAGATGAAGAATGCGGAGGCAGAGAGAGAGAAGGAACTGAAAGCTGCTCAACAGAAGCTAAACTCTGCTAAAACCAAGGCTGATGCGTTCAGTAAGAAACTCAAGGAGAGACAACAGGAGGCTGAGTCCCTGGTCCTAGAGTTGGAGGAGTTGAAGAGAGAGCAGTCTGGCAAGCACCACGGCAATGCGGACGCCCTCTCCCGGCGTGATGCCTTCTTCGCTGCCTTTACCCCGACGAGGACGTCGGTCCCGAGGAGGGGGATGTGTGATGTCACGAGAGGCTGTGTCCTGGAGGGACGTTACATCCCCCTGAGGTGGCTGCAAACCCAGACAGCTATGGCTCCATCTGCTGGTATGGTCGGGAACTCCACCCCTCTATGGCCAATCTTCCCACGCAGCTGAAACAAATGAGGAGCTGATGAGCTGAAGGTTTGGGAAGGGAAGAGACACAGTCTCCAACCTGGGCTCTCTGGAGGACAAGAGTGCTGCACGTCCACTTCCATGAGGAATATAAGGATTTGGAGATACTTACCTTTGGGAAATACTCACCTTTGGATATATGCACCTGTGGAAATACGTGAGAGACATTTGGAAGGACTTTTTGCTGGGTTGGCCACTAGCTGCAACGTGGACTACAGTAAGGCTGGGGAAAAGTTATCTGAGCGAGTGAGAATTATGATTTTGGATGTGGAAGAGACATCCCTGAACTGTTAACCCTTAAAGAGCCACAAGAGAACAGAATTTTGTTATATTTTCGTTAATTTCCCAAGACCTATAATAAAATCCTTGTTTTGTTTGAACCTTGTCTCCTTGCACTACTTGAGCAATCCCGCTGAAAGCTGTGTAGCCTCTCGTGACGTCACACCGGGTACGATGAACGTGAAGGCAGACACACAGTATGACACAGAGGAGAGGCCCAGAGACAACACCCCCATACTACCGGCGCCACAATGCAGGAGGCCGGGAGTATGGGGGTGTTGTCTCTGGGCCTCTCCTCTGTGTCATACAGGGCGATGGACGCGGATAAAGAGCAGGCATTACGCACAGATCCATCTCCACCTCAGTGTCCAGCTGGGCTGTGGTACGTGCCTGCTCTTATCCGTGATCATCTGACCTTCTGGGCACACATGTCACCCTCCTTGGTCACCCATGTATCGGTCGTACAGTGCGCTGCTTGATCGGAAAGTACTGGTGGCCTCATTGGCTAAGGACGTGAGGGTGTACGTCTCCTCCTGCTCGGTGTGCGCCCAGAGTAAGGCACCTAGGCACCTCCCAGCGGGTAAGTTACAACCTTTACCAGTTCCACAACGACCATGGTCTCAACTTTGTATAGATTATTTTGACTGATCTTCCCATCTCCCAAGGTACCACCACCATACTGGTCGTTGTGGACCACTTTTCCAAGTCCTGCCGCCTCCTTCCTCTGCCCGGTCTCCCAACGGCCCTGCAGACTGCGGAGGCCCTGTTTACTCACTTTTCCGGCACTACGGGGTGCCAGAGGATATAGTGTCCGACCGAGGTCCCCAGTTCACGTCCAAGGTTTGGAAGGCGTTCATGGAATGTCTGGGCAGGTGGTAGTTCCTGCGGTCCTACTGCCAGGACAGGACGGGGGAGTGGTCGGTAATCTTGCCATGGGCAGAATATGCCCAGAACTCTCTCCGCCACTCCTCTACTAACCTAACACCATTCCAATGTGTTTTAGGTTACCAACCGGTTCTGGCACCGTGGCACCAGAGCCAGACCAAGGCTCCTGCGGTGGATGACTGGTTTCGGCGCGTGGAGGAGACGTGGGACGCTGCCCATGTTCACCTCCAGCGCGCCGTGCGTCGTCAGAAGGACAACGCTGACCGTTACCGCAGTGAGGCCCAAGTCTTCGTACCGGGGGATCGGGTCTGGCTCTCGACCCGGAATCTGCCCCTCCACCTGCCCTGCCGGAAGCTGAGCCCGCAGTTTGTGGGGCCGTTCAAAGTCCTGAGGAGAATCAACGAGGTCACTTATAGGTTGTTACTCCCCCCTGATTACCGTATTAACCCCTCGTTTCATGTGTCTCTCCTCAGGCCGGGTGTGGTTGGTCCGCTCCAGGAGTCTGAGGTATGGGAGGTTCCTCCACCTCCTCTGAACATCGAGGGGGCCCCGGCATACTCTGTCCGCTCCATCCTGGATTCAAGACGTCGGGTGGGGGGCCTTCAGTACCTCGTGGAGTGGGAGGGGTACGGTCCGGAGGAACAGTGCTGGGTCCCGGTGAGGGATATCCTCGATCCCTCGCTGTTGCGGGATTTCCACTGTCGCCATCCAACTCGCTTTGCACCGCGTCCTCCTGGCCGTCCCCGAGGCCGGGGTCGGTGCGCTGCTGGAGCTGCGCGTCAAGGGGGGGGTACTGTCACGACTTCCGCCGAGGCTGCCTCCCCTCCTTGTTTGGGCAGGCTTCGGCTTTCGTCGTCACCGGCATACTAACCACTGCCGCCCCATATTATCATCATCACATTTGTCTTGTCGTCAATCACACACACCTGGTTCTAATCCCCTCATCAGTCCGTGTATAAGTGTTCCCTCTGCCCCCTTGTCCTTGTGGGTGATTGTTTGAATGTGAGAGTAGTGTAGCTCGGTGGAGCTACTCGTACCATTTTGTTGCCAGGGTAGATATTTCCCCTGTGCCTATGTATTGTATGGAGATACCGTTACAGTGTATTGCCAGGGTAGATAGTTTCCCCTGTGCCTATTTCGTTTGTCGCTATTCCAGCGTATTTTGTGTAACGAAGGAATAAACTCTGTATTCGGTGATTACCCTCCTGCGCCTGACTCCTTCCATCCCACTCATCACAATTCCACTACCAGACAGATGAGAACATCAGCTGTTCCGAATTTTTGGTTATCATCAGCTTTATTTGCAGACTCCTACATGATCTAGCTGTCGTGAATTTGACTATTCTTAAAAATAACATTGATTTGTGGTTATCAAACTGGGGTCCGCGGCCCGAGGTACTGGTAATTTGTGGGGGTATCTTTTTGTCAAACAATTTTGGGGAGGGAATTTTTTTGTAGGGGAAAATATTTATTTTATGAGTATCGCTAGCTGTAACATAATACAATCGTGGAGACCATTTTCATGTCTCTGTGTCCAGTATGAAGGAGGTTAGAGGTAGTTTCACAAGCCAATGCTAACTAGCGTTAGCGCAATGACTGGACGTCTACAAGAACAGTTAGCATGCTAGCTGTTCCTGTTAATCAGACTCTGGGAAAGTAGATAAATAGCTTCATTGCCAAAATCTTGAATTCCCCTTTAATATGGAGGAAATTACAGTCTTTGCACTAATTACAGGGGGGTTTCTGTATAGAAAATTCTTAGGCAGGCCATCTAAGTAGGAATTTTCAGGACGGAAAAAACGTACGACCAAAACTAGATAGAAAGCAGAAAATATATTGAACTATATGTATGCTTAAATAATACCATCTTTGAGAACTAACAATCAAATAAAAGCTAGACAGTCAGGGAGAATAAAAAATTCCCCATACTGGGCATTCAAGGCACATGCCCATTCGTTTTTAAACTGCTAAATTTGCTCTCAGCTCAATGAAAAAATGTATAGAATTGCAGAAAATGTGCTTTACAACAGCAACATTTTCTCCACTGCCATTCGGAAAAGTATTCAGACCCCTTGACTTTTTCCACATTTTGTTACGTTACAGCCTTATTCTAAAATTGATTAGATTGTTTTTTTCCCCTCATCAGTCTACACACACTACCCCATAATGACAAAGCAAAAATGGAAATATCACATTTACATAAGTATTCAGATCCTATACTCAGTACTTTGTTGAAGTACCTTTCGCAGCGATTACAGCCTCTAGTCTTCTTGGGTATGACGCTACAAGCTTGGCATACCTGTATAAAATGTGGAAAAAGTCAAGGGGTCTGAATACTTTCCGAATGCACTATATCATTCTAGCTAATAGGCTAGTTTACACTTCCTCTTCCTGTGAGGAGGTCAAAATAATTGAACTGTCTACCAAATCTATTCATTTTAAAATGTTGATTAACTTCTATTTGCCATTATCATTCACCTGATGATAAGACAAGACGTGAATGTTTTTCTTCTTCTAACATATGATGGGGGTCCCTGGGTCGCCGGTTTGCCTGGCGGGGGTCCCTGGGTCACCGGTTTGCCTGCCGGGGGTCCCTGGGTCGCCGGTTTGCCTGGCGGGGGTCCCTGGGTCGCCAGTTTGCCTGGGCAGGGGTCCCTGGGCTAGAAACGTTTGAAAACCCCTTACATAGATAATCTAATATTCTGTTTCTGCAGTTCAGAAAATAGCCACATAATAGCTGTTGTGTTCTGTTGTGTTCTGTTGTGTTCTGTTGTGTTCTGTTGTGAATCTGTCTCTTTCTCTCGTGCCCCACCTTCCCATATCCCACCTCCACCTCTGCAGGTTAAAACCTTGTCTGATGCAGCTTAATTGGTATTATAAGTGGTATTGTCAGATCAATGGTGTTCTTGTTAATGCAGAGGTTTTCCTGACCAAATGACATATAAGGTACATTTGTACTGAACTCCTGTCTTTAGCTCTGTCAACATCACCACCTTTCTACTGGAACACCACAACAGAAACAGCAGGACCAACAATCCAAACAACCACATTGGCTGGTAACACCACAGCAATTACACCAATGACAGCGTGGCAAGGTGAGTGTTAAGAAAGTCTTGTGTAAAATGCACTTACAATTAAATTGTAACTTGGATAAGTGTTGAAAAGGGCTGAAGCCTCTGAGACTATTATACTGGTTTGAGTAGGCAGAGATATGGAGATTGTTCTCCTTCCTATTGGAGAGATGGTGAGAGAGACAATTCCTCAGTTTAGGGTTCTTTATTGTTGATTGGAGATTATCACCCAGCTATGATTATCTAGTGAACTATCCATTTATCCAGATCACAATGTGGTCTGGAAATAATAAACATGAATACAATGGCATCAATACTAGGAAAAGGCACATATTAATGAAACAAGATACTGTAATAATACAATGACTGAAACGAAAATACAGGTAGCTAGCTACAAGAATAGCCTGCTAACAATGACTGGTAAAATGTAGCTAACAATGTTACAGAGCTAGCATTAAAAAACGAGATACATAAGTGCTGTAAGAATGACAAAAATATGATTTAACTATTGACAACTTTGTCAGTAAAACATTGACAAACAAGGGCTGTACTCACAGTTTGGTATTCACGCACAGTGATGGGTAAAATAGCTAGAAAATAATAATGTGCAAAACTGGAGATTCTAGCCACAACAGCAGATGGCGACCTGCACTTGGTAATGAATTGAACACCGCAGGCTGTGACGTCTAGCTGTTACAATAAGTCATTCTGTTTTTTTTCTTCTTTTTTTTTTACTTTGTCAGATGCCCCGATCAGATTGGTCAACGGTCCTAACTCCTGCTCTGGGAGAGTGGAGGTCTACCACAGTGGTAGCTGGGGGACGGTGTGTGATGACTCGTGGGACTTGAGTGACGCCCAGGTAGTGTGTAGACAGCTGGGCTGTGGGGAAGCTCTGTCTGCACCACATGAAGCCCGCTTCGGACAGGGGAACGGGACAATATGGATGGATGACGTTGGATGTACAGGCAGCGAATCTAATCTCACAAGGTGCAGTCACAATGGGTTTGGGAGACATAACTGTAATCATGGTGAAGATGCTGGTGTCGTCTGTTCAGGTAGGAGTATCATTCTTTAATGATCTATATTCATAATTTTTTATCATTCAATCAAGAACTTCTTTAAGGCTTTATGGATATAGTTAGATCACCATTCTGGTGTCTTATTTTTAGACCAGGGTCAATTCCGGGCCTTGGCTATAACCAGGGCCTGTCGTTTCTTTTCCATATTATTTTTCTTGTTGGGGGGGGGGGTCACACAGTGTTTTCTTGGTAGTCTTAAACACACACATGGTTATGGGCTTAAAGTACCCAGGCTCATGTTGACTTCAGGTGAATTACTCCCTAAATGTATACCTTTTCTCTCTTCTCTCTCATTCCTCACTTTCTTACCCTCCTCCCATTTTTTCTCAGACTCAGAGCGTCCTTCCATCTCAGGCCCAGAGCTGGTGTGTGGGCGGAGCCTCCTAGAGGTGGGTCTCAGCCGGGCTGGTCTGGAGACTGCAGGTCTGAACGCGTTCTCTGCTCACCTGGCTGACCTCCGCTGCTCCTCCCATCAGGAGGCTAACGGAACAGTGTGGTTCCAGGTGGAGCGCAGGGAGGGCAGCTGTGGAAACACGTTAACGGTGAGGAGTGAGAACACTGACTTCTGTCCCTTTTCAATATTCTCTCTTCTTACGATCAATTAACTTCAACTGAAGGGCAGTTCATACTGTATCTGTCAGTTGTTAATTAATATTTAGAAAAATGTAAATTCAGATCTGGGATGCTGAATGGTTGATAGCTGTTAGTTATTCCCGATAATCCTGGGGGGAAATCATTTTCACAATTCCATTTGAATTATCAATGCGCATCCACTGTCCCACAGCCCAGCTAGGCAATTCATTAACTTAATCTACACTGGAAAAAAGCGTCTAGACATTATTTACCCATGCTTCTAGCCTAGCTTGTGGTTTCCAACTGTGGGAGTTTGTCTAAACCTTGCTTCCTGCCTCTCTGAAACTGGCCAGGTGGTCTGGACAAACTCCTGGCTCTACACATGAATAATGTGTCATGTGAATAATAATTTCCACACTTCAGCGAGACATGACCAGGTCTTTATTATATGATATTATATGATATTATATGATATTATATGATATTATATGATATTATATTTTATTATATATTTTTTTATTATATTTTATTATATTTTATTATATTATATTATATTGTATTTTATTATATCATGTCCACAGGTCATTTTGTTAATGTCATCCCAACTGTCCTCCCAACTGTCCTCTCTTCATCTATGTTCCAGACCAACAGCACCCATGCCATCTACTCCAACAGTTTATTCATCTACCATGTGCACAATGTCTCCTTCACCCGACCCGTGAGCATACCTTTCTCCTGTGCCTATCCGCTAGACACAGAGAGCAGCCTAGATGTGGCCGTCGTACCCTACCTACCGTGAGTGGAGACGTCACTTTACAGAAAACTATACAAACATCACAACACAACACACTACAACACACTACACAACACACCACAACACAACACATCACAACACACCACAACACATCACAACACAACACAACACACCACATCACAACACACCACACCACATCACAACACAACACACCACAACACACTACACCACACACCACACCACACCACACCACAACACAACACATCACATCACAACACACCACAACACACTACACCACACACCACACCACATCACAACACACCACAAAACACACCACACCACATCACAACACAACACACCACAAAACACACCACACCACACCACAAAACACACCACACCACACCACAACACATCACAACACACCACAACACACCACAACATTGTAGTCCCGCCCCATCTGTGTTACACCCTGATTAGTTCAGGATTCTAACAATAGTCAGTCAGATATCTGGAAATATTTATAATGTTGTTTTTTTTCATGGCATTTTATACATCCAATCTTGTTGTTATTAAATGCAGACAAATATGCACATAACAAGCTACAGCTTTGTAACTTTGTCATAAATAAAATACATTTGTCTTAGCTTGTTCTCTTGGCACCAGGGTGGAGGGTGGAGTTTCAGGTATTGGCTCCAAGGCGTCAGCCTGCATGTCTCTGTACCACAACTCCAACTACACAGAGCCTTACCCAGCGGGTCAGAGAGTCACTCTGCCACTGGGCTCCGCTCTGCATGTGGGCGTGTCCGTCAAGGAGACGGAGACGGAGCGATTTGTGGTTGTCCTGGACAACTGCTACGCCACTCATTCCCCCAACCCTGACGACCCTATGAGATATTTCATCATTCAGAACAAGTATTTATGCTTCTTTATAGTTTATAGACTGAACAAAGCAAGTCAATTAAGAAAGTCTGTTAAGAATAAATGATTATTTACAATGATGGCCTGTGAGTGTGTGTGTTTGTGCTTGGCTACATGTCTGTGTATATTTGTGAGTGGACTTGTCCGAGCCAGACGGCCCATAGGACTGTAGCACGAGGCAACTTGATGTACAAGCACACCTCATGTGCCTTACACCCAATCAATTTGTTTTATGCTGATATGAGTGCAAAGCAGAGAGGCATCAGGTCCCATTTTTGGTTGTGTATTTTTGTAACTGTGTATGAGTTAAACCCTGGTCCTCCCTCTCTGTTCCCCAGATGTCCTAGTGATCATACCCAGGTCAGGGTGGAGGAGAGTGGCTCATCACTCGAGGCTCGCTTCTCTGCGCTGCTGTTTCTGTTCCAGGGGGACTACCGGGACGTCTTCCTGCACTGCAGTCTCAGCCTGTGTGACCAGAGGACCTCCTCCTGCTCTCCAGTGAGTCCTTGGCCCGTATTCACAAAGCGTTTCAGAGTAGGAGCGCTGATCTCAGATCAGTTTGGCCTTTTAGATCATGGTGAATTAGAGGTGTAACCTGATCCTTGATCAGCACTCCTGAGATCCTTTGTGAATACTGGCCATGGACTCTTCATCAATCTCTGTCTGTCTGTTCCACTTTCCCTCTCTCCCTCTCCCCCTCTCTCTCTCTCTCTCTCTCTCTCTCTCTCTCTCTCTCTCTCTCTCTCTCTCTCTCTCTCTCTCTCTCTCTCTCTCTCTCTCTCTCTCTCTCTCTCTCTCTCTCTCTCTTTCTGTCTCTCTGGTGCAGTACTCTCTTACCCTTCTAAAACAATTTGGTTTCTTTCCACAGTTGTGTTCCAGGCGAAGGAGATCCCGTTCCATCTCCAGTTCCGTCCCCCTTAATCCCGTCACCATCGGTCCAATCAGCTGTGAGTATTAAACCTCTACCAACAACAACCTGGCTGCCAATCACGCGGACAGTGTTGATGATGATATGGGACACACACACACACACACACACACACACACAGTCACACACACACACACACAGTCACACACACACACACACACACACACACACACACACACACACAAAGTAAACAGTTTCTCTCTGTTTGACTTCCAGGGACTTGGAGTCTGGACTGAGCCTTGGGAGGTGCAGTAGTGAGTCGTTAGGGTATCTGATTCAATGTCCTTCTACTTTTGAATTTACTTTTTCATGTATCTCTCTGGCTGTGTTTTGTGACTATTGTATATTGTCTTTGTGTTTCATTGTTGCAAGAAGTATCCATACCCAGACATTCAGCCCTCTTAGAGGTGTTTCCCTTTTTCTGCAGCCTTAAAGGCCCAGTCAAAATTCTGTTTTTCCAGATTTTTAAAATCATATTGTACAACAGCTCATGAAATTAACACTGTAAAAGCGTGAAAAAATTGTATCACTGTTATTTCCTGATAGTTGCTGGTTGAAAATACAATCTACACAGAACCTTCTAATCAGCAGGTTTGCATTGGCGGGAGTTTCGGCTTTCCATGGTAACATCGCAATGAGGTAAATTGGTTAATAGACCAATAACAAAGAGAATTCCAAACCTCTCTGTCAATAACAATTAGTTTTCAGTTGTCCCATCTCCACTCAGACCACTCCCAGACAGCCCTAGCAAAATTCTTGCTTGAGAAATGTTTTTTTGCTTAAAAGCTATTTTTGCCGATTTTATTGGAAAGCTATTACAGTAAGTTACTTAATTGTTACATAGAAATGATTTGATATTGATATAAAAAACGGCTGCATTGGGAATTTAAAACCATAGCCATCAAAAATGTTTGATTATTGCTTTGAAGCTGTTTATTTTCTTTGATGGTGATTGCTAGATGTTTTTCTTCCATTATTTGTGTGATATATTGATTCATGATGGCAGTCTCTTTGGTTTTGATGGTTTGTTAAGGTGGGTTAATGTGTTGATTTTATTTCATGTTTATTTTTTTACCTAATTGAACTTTGAACAATTATTGATTGTTGACTTTGATTTTGAGTGAATGTTAAAAAACATTCTGTTAAACTGACTTAAGATAAACCAAATAAAATAACCTTAAAATCACTGGCCATTGCACCTGTTTAAGTGACTGTTGAGAACTGAAATTTAAGGGGATAATGTAATTAATACAGCTAATAAATGGGGTTAAATAATAATGTTATTTTTTGTGTCATCTGAGTAATTAGTTTAGGTCGATTAAAAATGTAGATGTAATTCATTTTCCAATTCTGTTTAACTATGCATGTTTCTTGTGATGTAGCCTAGTTTTGATTTTATCGTATTGATGACGATGATTATATACGTATATACAGTACCAGTCAAAAGTTTGGACACACCTACTCATTCAAGGGTTTTTCTTTATTTTTTACTATTTTCTACATTGTAGAATAATAGTGAAAACATCAAAACTATGAAATAGCACATACTATTGCCTTTGCCAAAAAGTGTTAAACAAATCTACAGTGGGGAAAACAAGTATTTAGTCAGCCACCAATTGTGCAAGTTCTCCCACTTAAAAAGATGAGAGAGGCCTGTAATTTTCATCATAGGTACACGTCAACTATGACAGACAAAATGAGATTTTTTTTCTCCTGAAAATCTCTTTGTAGGATTTTTAATGAATTTATTTGCAAATTATGGTGGAAAATAAGTATTTGGTCAATAACAAAAGTTTCTCAATACTTTGTTATATACCCTTTGTTGGCAATGACACAGGTCAAACGTTTTCTGTAAGTCTTCACAAGGTTTTCACACACTTTTGGCACATTCCTCCATGCAGATCACCTCTAGAGCAGTGATGTTTTGGGGCTGTCGCTGGGCAACACAGACTTTCAACTCCCTCCAAAGATTTTCTATGGGGTTGAGATCTGGAGACTGGCTAGGCCACTCCAGGACCTTGAAATGCTTCTTACGAAGCCACTCCTTCGTTGCCCGGGCGGTGTGTTTGGGATCATTGTCATGCTGAAAGACCCAGCCACGTTTCATCTTCAATGCCCTTGCTGATGGAAGGAGGTTTTCACTCAAAATCTCACGATACATGGCCCCATTCATTCTTTCCTTTACACGGATCAGTCGTCCTAGTCCCTTTGCAGAAAAACAGCCCCAAAGCATGATGTTTCCACCCCCATGCTTCACAGTAGGTATGGTGTTCTTTGGATGCAACTCAGCATTCTTTGTCCTCCAAACACGACGAGTTGAGTTTTTACCAAAAAGTTATATTTTGGTTTCATCTGACCATATGACATTCTCCCAATCCTCTTCTGGATCATCCAAATGCACTCTAGCAAACTTCAGACGGGCCTGGACATGTACTGGCTTAAGCAGGGGGACACGTCTGGCACTGCAGGATTTGAGTCCCTGGCGGCGTAGTGTGTTACTGATGGTAGGCTTTGTTACTTTGGTCCCAGCTCTCTGCAGGTCATTCAGTAGGTCCCCCCGTGTGGTTCTGGGATTTTTGCTCACCATTCTTGTGATCATTTTGACCCCACAGGGTGAGATCTTGCGTGGAGCCCCAGATCGAGGGAGATTATCAGTGGTCTTGTATGTCTTCCATTTCCTAATAATTGCTCCCACAGTTGATTTCTTCAAACCAAGCTGCTTACCTATTGCAGATTCAGTCTTCCCAGCCTGGTGCAGGTCTACAATTTTGTTTCTGGTGTCCTTTGACAGCTCTTTGGTCTTGGCCATAGTGGAGTTTGGAGTGTGACTGTTTGAGGTTGTGGACAGGTGTCTTTTATACTGATAACAAGTTCAAACAGGTGCCATTAATACAGGTAACGAGTGGAAGACAGAGGAGCCTCTTAAAGAAGAAGTTACAGGTCTGTGAGAGCCAGAAATCTTGCTTGTTTGTAAGTGACCAAATACTCATTTTCCACCATAATTTGCAAATAAATTCATAAAAAATCCTACAATGTGATTTTCTGGAGAAAAAAAATCTCAATTTGTCTGTCATAGTTGACGTGTACCTATGATGAAAGTTACAGGCCTCTCTCATCTTTTTAAGTGGGAGAACTTGCACAATTGGTGGCTGACTAAATACTTTTTTCCCCCACTGTAAATATATTTTATATTTGAGATTCTTCAAAGTAGACACCCTTTGCCTTGATGACAGCTTCTCAAACTCTTGGCATTCTCTCAACCAGCTTTATGAGGTAGTCACCTGGAATGCATTTCAATTAACAGGTGTGCCTTATTAAAAGTTAATTTGTGGGATTTCTTTCCTTCTTAATGCATTTGAGCCAATCAGTTGTGTTGTATCAAGGTAGGGGGAGTTTACAGAAGATAGCCCTATTTGGTAAAAGACCAAGTCCATATTATGGCAAGAACAACTCAAATAAGCAGAGAAACGACAGGCCATTAGTACTTTAAGACATGCAAAAACCATCAAGCGCTATGATGAAACTGGCTCTCATGAGGACCGCCACAGGAATGGAAGACCCAGAGTTACCTCTGCTGCAGAGGATAAGTTCATTAGAGCTACCAGCCCCAGAAATTACAGCCCAAATAAATGCTTCACAGAGTTCAAGTAACAGACACATCTCAACATCAACTGTTCAGAGGAGACTGTGTGAATTAGGCCTTCATGGTCGAATTCCTGCAAAGAAACCACTACTAAAGGACACCAATAAGAAGAAGAGACTTGCTTGGGCCAAGAAACGTGCAATGGCCATTTGACCGGTGGAAATGTGTCCTTTGGTGTTGAGTCCAAATTTGAGATTATTGGTTCCAACAACAGTGTCTTTGTGAGACGCAGTGTAGGTGAACGGATAATCTCCGCATTGTAGTTCCCACCGTAAAGCATGGAGGAGGAGGTGTTATGGTGTGGGGGTGCTTTGCTGGTGACACTGTGATTTATTTAGAATTCAAGGCACACAACCAGCATGGCTACGACAGCATTCTGCAGCGATACGCCATCCCATCTGGTTTGGGCTTAGTGAGACTATCATTTGTTTTTCAACAGGACAATGACCCAACACACTTCCTGGCTGTGTAAGGGCTATTTTACCAAGAAGGAGAGTGATGGAGTGCTGCATCAGATGACCTGGCCTCCACAATTCCCTGACCTCAACCAAATTGAGATGGTTTGGGATGAGTCGGACCGCAGAGTGAAGGAAAAGCAGCCAACAAGTGCTCAGCATATGTGGGAACTCCTTCAAGACTGTTGGAAAAGCATTCCAGGTGAAGCTGGTTGAGAGAATGCCAATTTATTTATTTTATTTTTATTTAACCTTTATTTAACCAGGTAAGCCAGTTGAGAACAAGTTCTCATTTACAACTGCAACCTGGCCAAGATAAAGCAAAGCAGTGCGATAAAAACAACAACACAGAGTTAGATATGGGGTAAACAAAACATAAAGTCAAAAATACAACAGAAAATATATATGCCGA